TCTAAAACTGGCTGGACGATTTTCTTGATGTAAAAAGCAAAATGATTGATAATTCGCGATCTATATGTTAAACTACCGTGCATTTGGGGCCATTATCGGAGAAATAGAATAATAAAGGTCGAAATATCGTCGCCATTTTGATAAATGAATATGTTAAGTATGTAATGTTGCCAGCTAGTTTTTTTTGCATAACAGAGGGTATAATAAGAAAAATAGAAAAATGCGAATTTCTCTAAAACTGGCTGGACGATTTTCTTGATGTAAAAAGCAAAATGATTGATAATTCGCGATCTATATGTTAAACTACCGTGCATTTGGGGCCATTATCGGAGAAATAGAATAATAAAGGTCGAAATATCGTCGCCATTTTGATAAATGAATATGTTAAGTATGTAATGTTGCCAGCTAGTTTTTTTTGCATAACAGAGGGTATAATAAGAAAAATAGAAAAATGCGAATTTCTCTAAAACTGGCTGGACGATTTTCTTGATGTAAAAAGCAAAATGATTGATAATTCGCGATCTATATGTTAAACTACCGTGCATTTGGGGCCATTATCGGAGAAATAGAATAATAAAGGTCGAAATATCGTCGCCATTTTGATAAATGAATATGTTAAGTATGTAATGTTGCCAGCTAGTTTTTTTTGCATAACAGAGGGTATAATAAGAAAAATAGAAAAATGCGAATTTCTCTAAAACTGGCTGGACGATTTTCTTGATGTAAAAAGCAAAATGATTGATAATTCGCGATCTATATGTTAAACTACCGTGCATTTGGGGCCATTATCGGAGAAATAGAATAATAAAGGTCGAAATATCGTCGCCATTTTGATAAATGAATATGTTAAGTATGTAATGTTGCCAGCTAGTTTTTTTTGCATAACAGAGGGTATAATAAGAAAAATAGAAAAATGCGAATTTCTCTAAAACTGGCTGGACGATTTTCTTGATGTAAAAAGCAAAATGATTGATAATTCGCGATCTATATGTTAAACTACCGTGCATTTGGGGCCATTATCGGAGAAATAGAATAATAAAGGTCGAAATATCGTCGCCATTTTGATAAATGAATATGTTAAGTATGTAATGTTGCCAGCTAGTTTTTTTTGCATAACAGAGGGTATAATAAGAAAAATAGAAAAATGCGAATTTCTCTAAAACTGGCTGGACGATTTTCTTGATGTAAAAAGCAAAATGATTGATAATTCGCGATCTATATGTTAAACTACCGTGCATTTGGGGCCATTATCGGAGAAATAGAATAATAAAGGTCGACATATTGTCGCCATTTTAATAAATGAATATGTTAAGTATGTAATGTTGCCAGCTAGTTTTTTTTGCATAACAGAGGGTATAATAAGAAAAATAGTAAAATGCGAATTTCTCTAAAACTGGCTGGACGATTTTCTTGATGTAAAAAGCAAAATGATTGATAATTCGCGATCTATATGTTAAACTACCGTGCATTTGGGGCCATTATCGGAGAAATAGAATAATAAAGGTCGAAATATCGTCGCCATTTTGATAAATGAATATGTTAAGTATGTAATGTTGCCAGCTAGTTTTTTTTGCATAACAGAGGGTATAATAAGAAAAATAGAAAAATGCGAATTTCTCTAAAACTGGCTGGACGATTTTCTTGATGTAAAAAGCAAAATGATTGATAATTCGCGATCTATATGTTAAACTACCGTGCATTTGGGGCCATTATCGGAGAAATAGAATAATAAAGGTCGAAATATCGTCGCCATTTTGATAAATGAATATGTTAAGTATGTAATGTTGCCAGCTAGTTTTTTTTGCATAACAGAGGGTATAATAAGAAAAATAGAAAAATGCGAATTTCTCTAAAACTGGCTGGACGATTTTCTTGATGTAAAAAGCAAAATGATTGATAATTCGCGATCTATATGTTAAACTACCGTGCATTTGGGGCCATTATCGGAGAAATAGAATAATAAAGGTCGAAATATCGTCGCCATTTTGATAAATGAATATGTTAAGTATGTAATGTTGCCAGCTAGTTTTTTTTGCATAACAGAGGGTATAATAAGAAAAATAGAAAAATGCGAATTTCTCTAAAACTGGCTGGACGATTTTCTTGATGTAAAAAGCAAAATGATTGATAATTCGCGATCTATATGTTAAACTACCGTGCATTTGGGGCCATTATCGGAGAAATAGAATAATAAAGGTCGAAATATCGTCGCCATTTTGATAAATGAATATGTTAAGTATGTAATGTTGCCAGCTAGTTTTTTTTGCATAACAGAGGGTATAATAAGAAAAATAGAAAAATGCGAATTTCTCTAAAACTGGCTGGACGATTTTCTTGATGTAAAAAGCAAAATGATTGATAATTCGCGATCTATATGTTAAACTACCGTGCATTTGGGGCCATTATCGGAGAAATAGAATAATAAAGGTCGACATATTGTCGCCATTTTAATAAATGAATATGTTAAGTATGTAATGTTGCCAGCTAGTTTTTTTTGCATAACAGAGGGTATAATAAGAAAAATAGAAAAATGCGAATTTCTCTAAAACTGGCTGGACGATTTTCTTGATGTAAAAAGCAAAATGATTGATAATTCGCGATCTATATGTTAAACTACCGTGCATTTGGGGCCATTATCGGAGAAATAGAATAATAAAGGTCGAAATATCGTCGCCATTTTGATAAATGAATATGTTAAGTATGTAATGTTGCCAGCTAGTTTTTTTTGCATAACAGAGGGTATAATAAGAAAAATAGAAAAATGCGAATTTCTCTAAAACTGGCTGGACGATTTTCTTGATGTAAAAAGCAAAATGATTGATAATTCGCGATCTATATGTTAAACTACCGTGCATTTGGGGCCATTATCGGAGAAATAGAATAATAAAGGTCGAAATATCGTCGCCATTTTGATAAATGAATATGTTAAGTATGTAATGTTGCCAGCTAGTTTTTTTTGCATAACAGAGGGTATAATAAGAAAAATAGAAAAATGCGAATTTCTCTAAAACTGGCTGGACGATTTTCTTGATGTAAAAAGCAAAATGATTGATAATTCGCGATCTATATGTTAAACTACCGTGCATTTGGGGCCATTATCGGAGAAATAGAATAATAAAGGTCGAAATATCGTCGCCATTTTGATAAATGAATATGTTAAGTATGTAATGTTGCCAGCTAGTTTTTTTTGCATAACAGAGGGTATAATAAGAAAAATAGAAAAATGCGAATTTCTCTAAAACTGGCTGGACGATTTTCTTGATGTAAAAAGCAAAATGATTGATAATTCGCGATCTATATGTTAAACTACCGTGCATTTGGGGCCATTATCGGAGAAATAGAATAATAAAGGTCGAAATATCGTCGCCATTTTGATAAATGAATATGTTAAGTATGTAATGTTGCCAGCTAGTTTTTTTTGCATAACAGAGGGTATAATAAGAAAAATAGAAAAATGCGAATTTCTCTAAAACTGGCTGGACGATTTTCTTGATGTAAAAAGCAAAATGATTGATAATTCGCGATCTATATGTTAAACTACCGTGCATTTGGGGCCATTATCGGAGAAATAGAATAATATAGGTTGAAATATTGCCACCTTTTCGTTATGATACGTGCATAAATACTTAAATGCATAGGTGTCGTCTTTTGCAGCAGTCTATTTTACCAAAGATAATGTTTTATTGTAAAATGACAATAATTTTTTATATTACTGCATTTCTCTTTCATATACAAGTATTTTGAATTAATTTGTTCCCGCTCAATACTTTATAACATTGTTCAACACTGATTCCGAGCAGTGGTTCGGTTCCCGTTGGAGCTAGTAGCTCGATAGGCATTTTGAATGAACAACATGAGGTGTGCATACATTTTGCCATTTTTCTAAAAAACTGGCTGATCGATTTGCTTAGAATTAATGCGTAAAGCTTCCTTAAACATGTATCTTCAGGTTGGTATACCGTGCATTGAGGGCCATTATCCCTGAGAAAAGTTATTAGGGTTCAAGTGCAAGGGTGATTTTTTACGGTCATTTTGTATGGGGCTAGCAACGAGGTTGCTGCACTGTAGTACAAATATCTTAAAAACGTGCTGATCGATTTTTATAATTTTTTCACTATTGGATAGGTGAAACTATAGACTTCAATCGTGTATATGCGGTTTTCGGGGCCATTATCCCTGAAGTAAGATATTTAAAGAATGGCGAAAACCTAACTTTTCAACCCCTTTGTTTACCCATATTAAAAATTAAAATTCAAAAATAAATGAATGTAGATAGTAAATAATTTAATTTTTGGCAATTCTGCATTTAAATTTATTTGGTTTCGTGCTTAAAAACATAAATAAATGCATTTGAAAGTGACCGATAGTTTTCCGATAACAAGTACCAAAATTCGACGCTAAGTCACCGCCGCTAATTTGACGCACGTGAAATGCTCACTCGATAAAATATCGACAATCGTCTTTCGAATGCGACGTAAAGCGTAGAAGCCATACAAAAATATCGATAGCATATCGAATACAAACCAAAAACATTTCGTTGTATGTCAAGGCATTTGATATGCATGTAGCAAAAATATATTGATATCATTATTTATAGATAAAAACGAATGTCTGTTATTATGTAAATAAACGTAGATTTATCAAGCCAAATGAAATGTTCACTCGATAACATGTCCTTAATCGATAAAATATCGATTATTGGCTATCGAATGCAACGTAAAGCGTAGTTGAATCCTACATTTTTTGCACCAAATTATCAACACATTCAAAAGTCTATCAGCTTCTGCTTTCAGAACACTTTTAAACGACTCGATGGCAATTGTAGGGCGGAGAGCGCATAGGCCAGGCGGGCAACAGAAGTGTCTTAATTTAATTTCAACGATGATGTTGATAATGATAAAGACGGCGGACGTGGACGTCTGGTGGCGGCAATCAGAGCAATCAGGCAATTCAATCAGCCAACACAGACGGTAAAATGGCAGCAAGTGCAGCAGCTTCACCCGCGGCCGGCTCATCCACATCCACCGACCGTCCGCCCGCTGCCGTCTGGCTGGCGCTATCGCTGGCATAATGTAGACGCATCTGGAAGTGGGCAAATATATACATATATGTATATACATCTCTAGTTTCTCCTGAGCATATACATCCGCATGCAGTTATGTGTGTGAATACAGGGATGTACTTGTCTATTGGCGACGCGCTTTTGGGGGGCTGCTCGAAAACTTTGCCAGGAACACAAGTTGTTGAAAACAACGTCGAAATTTGCAGACGGACTAGCACAAGTTGCACACTGAATTGTTCTTGTTCTTCTCGATGTTGTTATTGTTGTTGTATAATATTTGCGCCCTGGCGCATAATTCCAAAATAAGTTGCCCCCGGATTGCCGCACATCGTGAGTGCAGTCAACTTTTGTTGTTATCGCTGGCAGCCAAAAGTTATATAGCCCCTTGCCCACAGCACACCCTCTACCACCTTCCTATCATCGACCAGACCCTACTACCAAGATTTTCCCTCCAAGAACAATTCGTGCAGCAGCAATGCCGGCAACTCTTCGGGTCTGGGCGATAAGCAGCTGCGTTTTTATTTTAATTAACGCATCCAAGTGCAGCAGCCACAGACCCCAAAGCACAAGGGCACGGGTAAAGAGCGGTGGTGGTAGTGGGGGGATGTGCCACATTTATGAGGCACGTTATCTAATTATAAAAACAAAGCCAGACAAAGTCACTGGGAAACATGAATCACGTGTTCCGACTTGCCACACAAATATGCGTCTACATATTTTTTCACACTTGACTTCACGATGTGATGCTTTTTTTTTTTTGTTTTTGAACAAATGAACCAACAATTTTAAGTAGGAAATATATAGAAGAAAAAAAAACTTTTTATTGCAAATGGCAAATGCGGTAACAAAATGTTGAGGGCTGAAAAGCCCAAAAGAACAACAAGTAGAAGAGCTCTAGATGGGCTTGCTCGAGTAGGAGTTGCCCTGTGTACAGAATGGAGCTTTCCATATATGCAGCAAAAGAAAAACACACACGCAAGAGCGCATACGCCGTGCACTTCTTCTTCGCAAAATTCCAGAGCTTAAATCGCGTTTTTTTTTTGGCATAAGGATATCCAAACAATAAAATATTCTTGATATGTTATATACGAAAGTTTATGTGAAGGCTTTATCTTTAATAAAAAATAGAACTCTTCAACGATATGTGTGTATAAAGCAAATGGTTGACTTATCGAATATAAACTTGAATAGAAACTGTATCGAAAGTGTGAAGTAAGCTCAATCTGCGCGTGTCATAGAAGAATCTAAGTTCCAAAGACAGACTAAGCTGACTTGATGGACTCGCCTGTTGAGGTTGAATCAAAGTACATATGCCTACACAATTTATATGATCGACCTCCTCTTGCATGTCACATAAATGTGCACAAAACCATACTACCCTTTTTTTTTATAAATTTTGAATGGGCATAAAACAAGGGCCGAAAACATGAATGCAAAAAATCTTTTGAAACTTAACAAACTACAACCATTCAGGTTCATTCATGAATGAATCATTTGCGTGGGAGTTGATTATATTGTTGCGAAGATTAAAGAAACAAAACTATACAAAGCTGATTGTTCAGCTCTTCTTTTCTGTTTTTTTTTTTTTTTTTTTTTGTTTACCCTATTAAAGTCTGTGTTCGCTCTCCACTTAGATAATATGCAACAATAGCGATCACAAGATTAATCCGTATATATATTTATGTATGTTTTTAAATCAGTAAGAAAAATTGTCATCAAGCAGCGAAATCAAGAAATTGTTTCTTCCTTCTTTGATAATCAAAGAAGAAATTCTTGCAAAAAGTAGTCCAACGGGTTCTGCAGAGAGATAATTATATTGTGCGCAATATTTACCATTCACGTGGAAAAATGTAGCAAACCAGTGCAGGCGGCCCTTTTAAAGGCATTCAGGTGCCATGGCTCATATCAGCTGCAATCAAATGCATGGCTAGCAAATTAGTTGGCTATTGCACAGGTAACTCAAAGCAAGTGAAGGAAGCTGCACACACACACACACACATGCACACCCCACCTGGACACCCGACTGTGCCTCTAGCTAGTCGCATGCATTGAAGCAGAAGAAGCATGAGGGTCCTGCCAAAGGACATTGCTTTGCATTACATTTTGGAATGCCCGGCAGCAATTATTTTCAGCAATTTCTCAAGCATATGCAGCAGCCACGCCCACACATAGGGGCACTCGATATTGCGAATGCTGTTAACCTTTGAACACTTGCCAAAAACGAAAAAAAAAAAAAAGGAACAAATTTGATTGTTGTTAAACATTGTCATTGTCGTTTGAATTGCCGGAAATGTGTGTGTTATTTTTTTTTTCAATCAATTATTTTGCAGGCACATAACAAAATATGATGCTGCAGGCAGTAGCTGCTGCACTTTATGTGTGTGTGTGTATGTGTGTGTGAGTGTGTTTAGGGCGATCAACAACCCTTTGAAGTGCTTTTCTACGTTTATTGATATGCGAAATTAAAGCGTTTGCAATACTCGTCATTGAACACAAACAAGTGCACAGCCAGCAGACAGACACACACGCACACATCGTTGACCACGCCTGCTGCCCACCGCATAGTAAGCTCTTGACCACATTTGAAATGATGCGCCAATTATGCTCGTAATTATGCCGCAAAACTTATTTTCAGTAGGTTTTAAAGTTGCAAAAAATCCGTGTATTCCAGGTCTACCCCACGGGCAATAAATGCATCTGCTGCTAGACCGTTAACTATCCTAGCCATACGACATACGACAATATAGTTTACTTTATTTATTGTTCATATAAGTAGTATATGTTATTACTACGATCGGATATTAGAAGAATCCAAAAGGAGAATTCGCCAATTATCCAGAACTAAGTCAGATGGAAACAATGTTTGCTGTTTACCAACACTATTCAATGCAATGTGTACAAACATCCTTTAAAATGCAAGCTATACATATTATTAAACAGAAAATATATAAATATATATATATATATATATATATATATAAATATATAATGATGATATATATAAATATATAATGATGATATATATAAATATATAATGATGATATATATAAATATATAATGATGATTCAAGTCTCTAGCTCTTATAGGTTCTGAGATCCTTGGGTTCATACATACGTACGAACGGACGGACGGACAGACAGGCGGACATGGCTAGATCGACTCGGCTATTGATGCTGATCAAGAATATATATACTTTATGGGGTCGGAGAAGCTTACTTCTGCCTGTTACATACATTTGGATTTTGCAGAAATACAATATACCCTTATACCCATTTTTAATGGGTTCAGGGTATAAAAAGAACAAAATTAAATATTAAAAAATAAAGTTAAATAAATAAAACAATTAATTAGCGTGAACTAATTAAAACTGATGCTTTAGAGCTGGGGCGCCTTCCCTCACCCAACACCCCCTCAGCATAAAGGACGGCTAATTTATTTGAAATCAAAATTGATTAATAGTATTAGGAATCTGGCTTTAATCCATTTGAGTGAAGGCTAGATAGACGAACCTATTGAATGAACGTATTGATGGCTGTTGTGCAAACTTTGTAATGACTGTTGCTGCAAATTAAATGCAATGACAACAGAAACAGAGCCTCGGCAACAACAACAACAACAACAACAATAACAAAAACAACAAGAACAGCAGCAACAACAACAAACCGCTTGTCAATTCCAAATAAGATGAATGCATATCAATTATACACGAATACATAGACAGGCACACACATGTAGAACTTACCAATGGAAATTTCATTCATCAATGTTTTCTTTTTTTTTAACTCGGCAAAGGGAAACGAAAATGATTTCCATAGCAGGAAAGCAAACAAAACAAAACAAAACAAACACAAGGAAAAACGAGAAAGAGGGACTAACTTCGGCACGCCGAAGATCTAATACCCTTGCAGACCCAAGCTTTTCATAATGCACATAGTGCTTTGCCCGTATCTAAGAAGCACAAGGAAAATAGTTAATGCCGGGTTTGGTCAGATATCTTGATAAACAAAAAAGTTGTTTAGACAAAAACCTAGTTTTCGACTGATCGTTCCTATGGCAGCTATACGAAAATAAAAATGAAAGAGCATAGAGAAATCTCTGCATTTAATCAAAATATCTGGAATGACAAAAAAGTTTTCCATGCAACAACTTAATTTCGGACCGATCGTTCCTATGTCAGCTATATGATATAGTGGTCAGATCCAGATGGTTCCGACATATGTACTGCGTGCAACAGAAAGAGCGACTGCAAAGTTTCTTAAAGATAGCTTTAAAATTGAGAGACTTGATACTGATCAGGTATATATGTATATACTTTATGGGGTCGGAGATGTCTCCTTCTATGCTTTACACATTTCACGACAAAATTATAATACCCTCTGCAAGGGTATAAAAATGAAAAACAAAAAGCATTTCAACCAAATCAACACGTTTTTGTTGGCTTATGCGCCGATATGTGCATATGTGTGTGTGCTTGTGTAACCACACACCAGCTTAGTAAATGCATGTGTATTTGCGTGTGTAGCTTATTGTTGTTGTTGCTGATTGAATTGTGCACACGGAAAAGTCGAAAAGTTTGCAGCGAGCTTCTAACGCCAAATTCGAACAGTATCTTCCGCCCTATCGCTACCAACCACCACCCCCACACACCGCCCCCCCCCCCCCCCCCACACACACACACCACATTGTGTGTGTAAGCATGTAAATTGGGGTTTTTGCGTGAAAATGTGCGTGTGCGTGTGTGTTTCTGGCATGAATATATAATGAAAATTTTACACACTCAACAACTTCTCCAACACTGGAAAAAGGTGGCTGCGTTGGCTGCGGTAACTGCCTGTGTGAAGGGGGAGGGGGTTTTGGGCCAGACGCCTGCTAAATGCCAACATTCGCGAACTTCGCGACATTGACTTTGAAAATTAGTTTCGCCTACCCCCCACCCCCGCACGCAATACCACTAAAGCAACTCATTCACCCAGGTCGTTGCTCACAAATTGGTTTTGTTAATTAAGGTCGCGTGCGATGC